TGTGTCTATCCCCCTTGCTTCTTCACTTACACTGCTGAAGTCTGCAGATCTGTTTTACAGTGAGATTTTTCCCTAACGAACTCATTATATGATCAAGATCCAGACTGAAAGCCAGATCCAAAATTGACTGCAATTTGCAGAAAGGCTTTCATGGTTGGAGGAGAACAATTTTTGGAGTTAGTTTACAGAGATAAGAAACAAAGTCCTGGCCCCACTGAAGCAGATGGCGAAAGGCCCATTGATTTCAGTAGACCCAAGACTTCCATGAAGATGCACATTTATTTTCACTCTGAGTTCTGTTTAATCTTGATGGGTTCCAGACCTGAAGTAACTTATGTATGTGTGAAAAAGACTTAAGGAATGGAGAGCAAGGCTTGGGATACCAGTCAATCAAAATAGGCTTACCATCATTTGCAAGCAAAATGGCCCTGTTTGCTAAGGTAACCAAGGATTCCCACAGCAGCAGGCTGGAGTGATGAGAAGATTCCAGATACAAAAGGCTCTGAAGAATGGACAGCAGCTGGACAGAGGCTGGAGAGCTGCTCACCTAAAATACAAGGCAACTCCTATTAATTCTTTCATACGTGAGGCCAGCACCCATTTCTTGTGTGGAGTGATGGATACTGGTGTTATCACTGCAGAACCTTTATCCCAAAAGTGAGGGCCTACTTACTTTATTGAACAGAGATGTAAAGACCTCGTGGTGATTGTTCATGTCAATCCCATCACTTATCTTTAACAATTCCTCGTCATCTTCTGTCTTGGCCTCCTCAAATGTTTCACACTGGATAAGCAGGTCATCCTCTTCTATGTCTCTGCCATGCCAGAACATTTGTTTTAATTGGAGAGAGTCTATAACCATTTTTCAGTAACACTTCTCTGCCTGTAATGACTGGTGTCTTTTTACCACCCCCCTCGACTTGGCTGATGATCACTGCTGGAATTATTTGCCTTTCCATTATTCATAGAGGAACAAATCCCACCCATACATTCTCACACTGAGCACTATCTTCCTCTGCAGTAAACTCCAAAGTAAATCAGTATGCCAGAATCTGGCTCAGTCTGAGTTTTGTAAGGGGGCATAATAATTAAAAAAAAAAAAAAAAAAAAAAAAAAAAAAAACCGGCGGACAATTTCATATTTCCGTTTTTTCCCCCCTGCTATGTGGCTCAAGACAAAAAAAGGACATTCAAATCTCAGAAGTCAAGTGAAGTTCCTTCCAAGTTGTTGAACATTTTGTTAAAAATCCTAAAAGAAGACTACTATTCTGTGAAACCTTTTAAGAACTTGCAGCACAGAAACACTCCTCTCCTTAGCAGAGATTAATGGAAACATCATTTATATTCTAATTGTTAAAGGGCTGTGATAGAGATTCCAATTATAAGGATATATATTTTTTTATATATTCATTCTGAATCTTCAATGGCTTTCTCACAAAACAGCCTTCTAAATGAACAAACTGTGTGAACAGGTATGTCCAGATGCGCTTGATCAATAAGTGCCCCTGACAGACATTAATATAATCACACAATTGGGATCTAACAAATGTTATCCTGGATCGCAAAAACTATGCTGGCCATGCAGGGCAGGATGCATGATTTTGGTGACTGGGATTAAATTAGTTAGGTCCCAATTGCATAGCTGCTGGTGCATGGGCCTAGGCTTCCCATGCCTGGACCTTCAAAGGGAGCTATGGGAAGCATAGCTACGGGAGACTAGTTCCTGGTTCCCAGGAAGTCCTTTCTATTTGCTGGTGAGAGGGAGTCACCCCCTGATGCTGGGTTCCCTGTGCTTGGACCTTTAAAGGCACACTAGGCAGCAAAACAGTTCCTGATATTGGGCTGCCTGGTCTGTCTTTACGCTTGCTGATGCAGGGAAACCCAACGTGGAGCCATTCTCTGGTCTTGTTTTCCCCTCATATCAACATATGCAAAGGGCACACATGCAGCTGGGTTGCACATAGGCTTTGGGAGTTTGGGATCAGGGAGGCCCTCCTTAAGTCAGGCTTCTGTGCCAGCATGTTCATGCCACACATGCAATACAAACCAATTATAAAGAAGTTCCACATTAAATGTGTAAGAATTGAACTGCATGATGTCATGTCTATCAGGGGCCTTAGACAGATGTTTCTGGGACAAGCAGCAGCAGTGGCAAACAGGCCTTAAAAATGCCAGGCTGCTCAACACCACTGTAGGGTATAGACTACTTTAGCTATACTCTGTTCAGTACTCTCCCTCTAAAGCATCAATTCCTGCCACTACCTGAGATGGGGTACTGGGCTAGATGGACCATTTGCTTGCTCCTGTATTGTGCTTCTTATGTTCTTATGATATAGGCTCAGTCTGAGATGTGGACTCACCAAGCCAACAGCACATTGGTTCACAAAGGTCTGATTGGTCTGAGTTTAAAAACTGCTTGCAAGAATTAATCATGGCCACTGCTCCTATTAGTGTTGGGGTCTTTGTGGATGTGGCAATATTTTTCCTCTTAAAATCTGGTAAATGGTGTGTTAAGCCAGGATGGCTTAAAATCTCTTTGGCTCCATTTTTAAGAGATGCTTTATTATCCTTTTCACTCAACCCATTCTAACCAAACTTGTTTACTGTATACGAATAAAAGGAATTGCTCAAACACTTGCTGAGTTTCTATAGTTATATCAAAGTAAACTTCCTTTTACAGCGAAATTTGAATAGAAAAAAACCTTACCTTAGTTTGTTCAACATATCCAACAACTGCAGACCTGCCAGGGGGAGAAAACATATCTTGCATTATGACCTACTAGAATGTAGGCACTTGTGATGGCATTAGGGAATGATTTTCTATGCAACTCTTTCCTCCCCCCTCTGTCCTTTCATAAATGCAAATAATTTGATTGCTATTGGAGGTGTGGGTATTTATTATCATCATGATGACTTAATTCTACTGTTGAAATCTCTACTGATTATGGACAATACTGTATGGAAAGCTAAGATCCCAATTCTGCAAACACTTAAGCACAAGTTTAACTTTACCTACTGTCCATAATGACATAGTCTTCAATGAGGAGTAGGAAAAGTTAAGCATGTGCTTTAAGTCTTTGCAGGTTCAGTGACTACAAAGAAAGAATGTTAACTGAGGAACTTGTGGGCCTTGATCTTGCAATTATTTGTGCATCTGGAAAATCCCTTTGAGCCACGTATTTCAGGAGCTTAGTTTACAATGCTGTTTAAGAGCATAAATACATTTAAACTGCACATGGAGTCTCTTAAAACAGAACATCTGTATATCTGTCTCATTGGATATTGTATTTCTCCTGTTCAAGCAATTAGGATAAGCTGTGTTGTTTTTAAATTGTGTGCTATACTAAAAGGGCCAAACTGAGTCAATCCTGGCAAAAGAAAGCATGGCTCCCATGAACTGTGAACAGAACTGCTCCAGTACTGAAGTTGGCTGCTCCAGAGCTGGAATGAAGGTTGGCATGCTATAGAAAAGGGTTGATTAAAATAGCTCCTGGAACATGGGTTACAATATGCAGGATAACTTAAGTGGGAGTTCTGTTAGGATACAAAGGGAAAAGATTGAACTGATGTGAAAGGAAGGAGCAAGGCTTACAACAATCTACTACAGGATGTTTATCAGTGATAAAAGAAGAGTTGAGTTGGAGGTCAGTAAGTTGGTGCTGGGTTGGACTAGTTATTAATACATGATGCTTGATGTGATGCAATTTGTATACTTTTATTTTTTAAACTATTCTAAATACTGTATTTGCTTACATATCACATGCAACATTTCCTCCAAACTGAGGCACATGTCTTTAGTGAGGAAGCCGATTACCCTGCTAGAGAAGAAGTATGGGGAAGCTAGAACAGCTGCTAGGGCTGTGCTTCATTCCGGCTGCATGCAGCAAAAATGAAATCCAATTTTCAGGGTCACTTGTTCATCCCTTGCTACTCAGCCAAAGGCTAAAGGTTTAACCCTCTCACAGCCACTGCTGAATTGGCAGCAGCTTTTGGCTGAGCAGCCATGATGCAGCCAATATTCCAGGAAAAAAATCTTTTCTTCCTTCTGCCTTTCTACAGCAAGGTGCGTCTTATTTGAGGACATGTGGTATA